AAAAACATTTATAATGTTACAAAAGATTTCTATTTCAGATAAATGCTGTTCTTCCGCACTTTCTATTCATCAGAGAAACCTGAAAAATCCAGCTGTTTTTAACATAATAATAATAATATAATAATAATAAATGTTTTTTGAGCAGCAAATCAGAATATTAGAATGATTTCTGAAGGATCATGTGACTGGATTAATGATGCTAAAAAGCTTTGAAATCACAGGAATAAATTACATTTTAAAATATATTCAAATAGAAAAGTTATTTTAAATAGTAAAAAATATTTCACAATATTACTGCTTTTGCTGTATTTTGGATCAAATAAATGCAGGCTTGGTGAGCAGAAGAGAATTATTTAAAAAACATTAAGAAATCTTACTGTTCAAAAACCTTTGACTGGTGTGTGTATGTATGTATATACATTATATATACTGTATATATATATATATGTTTAATATCATCTTACTAAAACATATTATGGGGAGATAAAAAGTTCCTCAAACTGAGTTAAATTTTCTCCTATATCATAATACATGAGTCATATAAGACTGATGTATCAAACAGATAACAAAAAACATATGTAAACTTTATTTTTTTTTCAATTTTGTCTATAGCAGGGATCGTCAAATCTGGCCCACGAGATCCAGTTTCCTGCAGAGTTTAGCTCCAACCCTGATCAAACTCACCTACCTGTGATTTTCTAATGATCCTGAAGACATTGATTAGTATGCCCAGGTGTTTGATTAGGGTTAGAGCTAAACTCTGCAGGAAAGTGGATCTCGTGGGCCAGATTTGAGGATCCCTGGTCTATAGGTTCAATAAACAGTTCCATTAAAAAAAAAAAAGAATAATAGATTTTTCTGACTATTCATATATCAGGTTTTACAGGGTTAAGAAGGGCAAATAGAAGCCATTTTGATTTCACTTTGTATTTAAAGACACACAAATGCATTGTCATGACAGCTGGCAACAAGAGACACTGTCCTAAACTGTCACATAATGGCACAACCGTTGTGCCAGGGTCCAGCTGACAGTGTGACTCAGTAACTGGACTCACCTGACAGGCCACCGACATCCATCTTCTTCAGGTTCTTGGCCTCCAGAACCACCACGGTCAGTTTGCCAGCAGTGGGCACATACCGCAGAGAGAAACAGATGTCACCCAGCTTCTCTTGCTGTGAGTGGCAGAGAAAAGTTCAATCAGGGACATCATTGTCAAGGTAAAGAGAAAAACCGAACCTGAAAACCTGGTCAAATTTATTCACTAAATGAATTCTCTAACAAAAATCAACATTTCTTTAGAAGCAAAGCCAAACTGAAACATCTCCAGCTAAAATAATTTTGCTAGCACAAAAGACTAAAATATTCCCCTTTACACAAAACATTTTTTTGACGTTCACCCACCCAACAGGATTTATAAGAGAAACTGATTTGAGGACCATAGCGTTTGTATTCTTTGAATCTGATTAATTTTCCACAAATGTAGCTGCACCGGTAAACACACTGAAAATACATTTACACGTTCACACATTGCATTAATATTTTAGGAGCCATTCTAATAAACATGGACACAAACACGTGACATATAGAAAACAACAGGAAGGGGGAAAAGGTTATATCACTTTACTTTCAACTGGCTGATGCCATTTCCACACAATCAATTTTCTGTCAATTAAAAGGTCATCAGAATAGAAAAATAACATTTCATAGTTTAATTAAACAAGGTAAGTCCTACAAGGTAAATAAGTTGAATCGACTGCCGAGAGTTTTTTTCTCCTCTTTTTAAAATTGTGTAGGAAAAAAAGAGCAAAGAGGACCGAACTGGGTGGAACTACAAGAATCTACGGCATTTTGCAGTCAATTTTCATTTAGTTTTTTACAGGCGTTTAATTAAACAAGGTAAGTCCTACAAGGTAAATAAGTTGAATCGACTGCCGAGTTTTTTTCTCCTCTTTTTAAAATTGTGTAGGAAAAAAAAGAGCAAAGAGGACCGAACTGGGTGGAACTACAAGAATCTACGGCATTTTGCAGTCAATTTTCATTTAGTTTTTTACAGGCACTTAAAGTGCCATCCTCAGGACACCACTCTAGAGATTCTTTGATAAAAGTCAATACGCTCTAGCTTTCTCAAGCAGTGCTTGGAGTGCTCCGTTAGCTCATCGGACATGGAGTGTAACAGAAGCACAAACTCAAAGAGCAACCTTCAACGTATGTAGATAGCCTTCAAATCTCTGCCCTCAGCAGGTTTTTGACGGCGTCATAATTAACCTTTACACCAAGGAACCGTGGCACAAAAACAAGGTTCCCATAGAAACCATGGCTTAAATGCTATATTCCATGACATTTACCATGAAAATTGAATCTCCCAAACCACTGCTTGGAAAGTCACACTTTTATTAATAAAAATGTGGCACGGCCCAGCTGATTAAACTGACATTTCCATTGAAGATGGATAGCCCTCAAGTCTTGTACTTGTACAGTTAGTACATTTCCATGCAGCTCCTGCTAAATTATATTTACTCTTGTTGTGTACAATCTTTTCAATATACGAGTTAACATTTGGGAACATTTCAAACTTATTAGGTGGATTTGTTAAAGAAAAACATGGGGAGCATAAAGGCTAATTCACATTGCACAGAATTACAGTACGTAATTTCTCAGACATTCCAAGACCCGACAAACACGATTCAATATGTTCAATCAGACAAAACAAGTGCCAATGCCAACAGATGCCAACGGGGTAAAACACTGGTCTGTCAAAAACTGATGAATGCATCTACTGCCATTTGTCTGCGTTTCCACTGTATACAGCAAATCTTGTAAAGGTGCACACGTTTTCTTATTTTTTAAAAGTTACATTTATTTTTAAATAAAAAAAAATATTTTACTATATTCTATATCTGCGTGGATGTATCGTTTCAGTAGCCTAATAAAAACTCTAATTTTAAACAAAATGGGTCTCCATGTTGAGATCACATGTCTAGAAAAACAAAAACCAAAAAATATTTTGACTCATTCACTTAGCAGTTGCTGCCAACTGGTATAACGATGTTAACTTCAGCAAAAAAAATCTGAATGTGAATGAATATGATGTAAATTTTCTGTATGAATGGTTTGAAAAGATTGAAGTCACTAGGAAGAATCACTACTAGTGAACAAATGAATTGGCAAAAATCCCACTTGTGCTCCAGAAGGTCAGGCAATAAAGATGGACTATTCACACAAAAGCAAATATTCAAGCACATTACCAGGGAACAGGTTATTGCCACCCATGCATATAAGCTTTGTACCTCTTCTTTCTCAGCGCTCAGGAGGTCCCTCCACTCCTCAGTCACATGACTAAAGTCGACCTTATTCATGGGCACCTTCACGTCTCCAATAGCGTCGTGTTTGGAGAAGCGGTCAAAGTCATACACCGTCATTACCAGAGTTTTCCCTCCAAGCTCAGTGTAGGGAACCTGTAGGATATGATGGGTGACATTAATTGCATGCATACCTACCATTCTAATCTCTCTCAATTCCAGTTACGGGACTTATCTAACGCTGAGATGCTGGGATGAAGCTATAGGACAATTGCATGTGCGCAAGAGAAAGAGAGAGATTTGATTCTTGATTACCTCCAATTGAGCTGTTTTTTCAGACAAAACTCATTATCCCGAAGGACTTGTTCCAACATGGCGACAAACTGCTTGATTGGCCGGAAAAGAGATAAGACCCAAGGGTTGCTATTTTGTCCTTGACGCTATCACACACACTAGCTCTCCAGTCTCTTCATTTCAATAATGAAGGCACTTGTGATTACATGTCAGAGCTCTGTGGTTATCTCTCTCTATGTTGGCGTGCAGCTCATTTCTCGTTCTCAAGGTACCTTGTCATAGTTGAAATTGCGCTAGGCTAAACAAGAACCAAACACGCAAACAGTCCTTTACCCCCCCCCCCAGGTTGGATCAGTTATATTTTTGCAATTCTTTTAGGAATTCAACACTTCACTTAGCAATTTAATAGAAGTCTAGAGGTTTGAGTGCGGTAATTACACAAAAAGGTCTTTCTAGCCACATGACGTCCTATAAAAATGAATCAGAAATCTCTACTGAACATTCAAAATAGAAATTATTCTACTTTCCGGATGACAGACACCTGCAGGAGTCCATCTGCATGTTTACATGTAATTACTCCAATGCATCGTGCCACTTACTGTCTTGTTAATACACCAGAAGAAGTAGTCAGAAATAACTCTATATACTGCATGAGTAGAATGCAAACGCACGGATCCAATGAGAAATCACTTGTTATAATTCAATTCTGTTAGGTTTGTGACCTACCTTAAAGGTGAATTGCTCATTGAAAACGGGATTCAGTGTCTTCCGGTGGACCTTGGTCTCAAATTTCTTCTTCTTGTCTGGAAGAAGGTAGACCTTCACATAGGGGTCAGAAGTGCCACCCATATCCATAGCGGGCAGCTCTGCTGCTTGGATGATCCCCACTATGAGCTATGAAGGGTCAAACGTCAAAGTTAAAGAGATCATGAGTAAGACCTTGAAGAGAAGTGTAGTCTTTATCTAAACCATCACCCCACCACCATTCTGTAGGAGCTTACTGTAATGCTGGATCAGATTTATGTGAAGACAGTTGGTCTTCTTTTTCTAAAGCACCAAGATCTGCTGTCTAACATAAGTTCTACACATTCATGTAGATTAAAAGTATCAGGGTCTTTCCATAAAACTGGGGTTTTTTTCAGCTTGTCTGGTGACTGTCAAGCTTTTTGTTATTGTTACCTAGAACTTAAACTATTAAAAATTGTTTCGATTAATTGTAATAAAACTGACATAAAATATAAATATAAAAGAAAAAAAAACATAAAATTAAACGTATTAGAAATGTTGCCTTTGAAACTAACTGAAATAAGCTGAAATATAAAAATTGATAAAAATAAATAGAAATATAGAAAACCCTAATAAAACTAATAAAAAACAAAGTTTCTAAAAGTTCAATTAAAATTTAAATGTAAACTGAACGTATATTTAAAAAAATAAAGAAATACAACAATAGTATATAAGTAATACTAAAATGACACTACATTCAATATTATTCTCTCCATAATATTGACAATTTCATACTTTTCGAAAGTTTGGTGGACATACCTTCACTCTTTGAGAACTTCTGCTCCTAAAATTAGTAACTAGTACACACTGAAAAAGTTTTAACTGCCTTCTTATAAATCTGATGTGGTTTATTGTGAATCAACTACTTTGTATTTGACTTCAACTGTTTGGTTCTCTTTATGGGTTGTACTATAGTAAATCAGCCTAGAGAGTATCTGCTTATTCATATGAAAAGCCACTGAGAGGTCAGTTATAGTTATGATGCTGAGGTGCGTCCTTCAGACCCAGGCTGCATTACTCTTTAAACAGTCCCAACATTAAGGAGGCAATGGGGTCAGGCCATGTCAAGCGTGGCGTTCCTGATCCTATCTCCCCATCGGCTCAGATAATTGATTGGCCGGCTGGCTGGGCTGAGGTCCTGATTGACCTGCCAGTCACCATATCCCCTGCATGGCCTCATGGGTCCTAGAGTCAGTCAATCAAGCTCCCATCAGCTTCCCATAAAACGCCCTGTCTCTGTGTCTACACATGCACTCGGGCGTAGAACTCTCTCTCCTCTCACCTTCTCTCTCTCACTCTGACCAGCTGTCACACTTCGGTTGTGCTGCCATGGGAAGGACTGTAGTCTGTGACAAGCTTTACCAGTGTTTCTGGTTTAGATGGTGGCCATCAGAGAACATTGTGATTGTTTCTTTACAAAGGAACTATAAAGATTGTAATATCCTGTCAGGCTGTAGTAATGTTTGATTTTCTTTCTTTCTTTTTTCATTAAATGGTGGTGGGTTTCAGGTCTGGACAGTTTTATTGCTTCACATTGTAATCTTGGATGAAAAAAAGCACATGTTCTGACTTCAAGAAAGAACCCCCCACAAACACTGTTCTAACACAGGCACAATCAAACAGGAAAACATCTGTATTTTTAAAGAATTAGTTGAAAGGTAGAAAATACTCCACAAATGATGCCCATTGCTCCTATAGTCACTGCTTCCATAAAGCATAAGTGAAAATGGTTGACAAAATAAGAGTCCTTGTTATTTATTTTAACCAATAGTTCTCTTTTGTCAGTCATGCAGTTATATTACCTTTAACTTTGTAAGAACTGGAAAATTAAATTTTTATATATATTGATTCCAGTCTTTAACATTTCATACTACTTGACAGGAGAATACTTAGATGTCAGCTAGATTTTGACTCCAGATTCATATCTTGACATGTTAGCAATGAGAAATTCAATATCTAGATAATAATAAATAAAGTGGAATTTACAATTAAATGTAAAGTTCAGTTCACACTTGAGAACAGAACACCCTCAACATAACCCAATTAACACTTCTTTCAAGATATTTGATTGTAATGCTATTATTGCTTTGAGGGGCTCCTGTAGCTTAACAATAGAGAATGGTACTTGCAAAAGGATGGTCATAGATTTGGTTTGCAGGGAACACACAAACCGATAAAATACCCTGAATGCACTCTAATTTGCTTTGCATAAAAAGGTCTGTGTGCACAATATACTTATTAAGTTATGACGTATCTAATAATGTTTCCAGTTCCAAGCCTCCACTCTATTACGATTGAGAATACTATCTCTACTACTTAATTTATTTATAGCACAGATTAAAGCTAAGCTTTTAAAAACTCACGGTGTACACTACAGTCTCTGGACTCACTGTGTTCCGGAGACTAATAATTTATCGATTCAGAAAAGATGAATCACTGTCTGGCCAACTGAGATTTTGGTATGGAGATAAAAGTTAGAATCATGATTTTTTTTTGGTTTGTAGTATTACAACATGTTGAAAATTTACATTTAGTCATTTAGCTGACGCTTTTATCAAAAGCGACTTACAAATGAGGACAATGGAAGCAATCAAAATCAACAAAAGAGCAATGATACACAAATGCTATGACAAGTCTCAGTTAGCCTAAATGTATATTAGCACCATTTTTTGTTTGTTTTTGTAATCTGAAAACAATGACACGTGGCATCAGACTTACAGTAAATAGAGTATTGTTGATATGCTGACCTTAAGTTGCAGTTGTCATTGTTTGCTGAATTTTTGGCGGGTGAAATCGTCATTTCAAAAGCAGATTTTGCAACAGGTTCAAGTTGTTCACTTAAATTTGCAGTGTTGAGCAGAAGAAAGCTGTTTGGTTTGAAAGTGACTTCTGTGTGAGTTCTTCACACATCGCTATACTACTGACAACAGACAATGCACCATTTGTGCTTGCAAAATTTTGCAAATGTGACTGCACATTTAGCCCAAATTACGCAACCTATCAGTGGCATCGCTGTCAGTCTCACTGGAAGTTTGCGATACACGAGCCGATGCCATCTTTAAGTTTAAATGAGAAGTCTTTTGTAAGTAGCTCCTAGCTGTGAGTTAGATTGAATAGTTGTGGACGACAGTAGCAGTATGAGTCAGGGTGGATCTGTCTCTGGTTGTTTTGGACATAGAGGGGGGGTGAAAGACTATCTGATCCTGATGAGACTTTGGCCATAATAACCTTCAATCGCTCTGCAGGCTACACATTTTGAAGAATCAGACTGATGCAGGACATGCTGGAGGAAGATTCAGCTGTATGACTTCACCTCAGTGGGTGCAGTTCTCACAATCTCTCATCTGAAGGCTTTGAGCTGTCATCTTAAATTACTGCTGCAATGGTTTTCAGAGAAAACTGTTTTCTTAGAGGGGTTTCTGGGATGTGTTAGAAAACAGGCCACGATTGCAATGATTCACCTCAGTGAACGTGTATGGATTCGCAGCTCAATCCAAACCTCTTTTTCTATCCTCATTAATAATATCACCCTTATCTGCACCCTGCCTCTCTGTCTCCCTGAGGAGCCACCCTGGATTCTGAGATATTGTGTCTTGTGGCTTTGTAACTGCCATGTTTTGTACTTTTCTATTTTTACCCTCTGGCTTGCTCAGCAGGGTTGGAAAGGTCCAGATTACCTTTAAACAAACCCAGAGTTTAGTTGAGCTCACTGGAACCTTTCCCCTTTGGAAAGGGCAAGAGTTGCAGAAAAATCTCCCAGACCTCATGTTGTCTCAAGTTTCCCTGAAGCGATACTCAGCTTGATTTAAAGCCAGACGGGAAAGAAGCCTGTAGATTTCCTACCGGCACGAAGGGTGGAGATACATGCGTGTCTATGAGAGCGAGTGGTTCTCTGGGTTGAATCTGGGTCAGGCTGATGTGGATTTCTTTGCATCTCGTGCTTTTTTTGCATCTCCTGCCTTCATTTATTTGCACATGCTATCTGCAATATTAGCGGTAAAACTGGGTGGTAGGTGGTTAGTGAATATGACGTAGGTTTTTATGCAAAAATAACTGTTTAGTGAATTTGCTCTTTTGTGTTAATGCTATATTTTATCCTCACATTCTTATACCTCCAATGAAGACTTCAGTAAACTTAACTAACTATTTGATATATTTTTGCTACATGGCAAAAGAATAGAACAAATGCAGTATCTTGAACATCTCATTATTGTTCTTAAAACTCTGTTATGCCATAAATGGAAAGCATTACCAGTCATTTGCAGTCATTTTGTCATCTCACTACACATACATTGCCGGCATACTGTGCTTATAAAAGCTGTAATTTGTGTGTGTGTGATGACGGAAATTCTGGCTTTTTCAGGTTTGTAGCTTTTTTTGCACGGTCTCGGCGTGAGACTATGCACAGCTTCAATTATCTGTCACCCAGGATCTGACAAAAGGAAGTGCATCCATTCTGGAAGTCACTCGGCTTTCAAGCTCAACCGCTTGTAAGAGGCGGCCAATGATTTTCGGCTTAGCCTCAGAGTTGAAGACAAGCCAGCACCCTCATTCAGTCAGCGTGGAAGAAAGCCAGTTCAAACTCGAATCTAACTACTGTGATGTGCCCTTGACATTCATGGCATTTGGTGAGTTTACAGGATGATGGGCATTATTTTTTAAAGTGCTACGTCTGAATTCCTCTGGCTTTTATAGATAGCACTTAATAATAGTGCACATGACTCTAAAAATGACTCTGAAAAGTGATTCATGTTGTCAAAGTGTACTCTACACATTTTCAGTATGTATTTTTTAAACACACAGTTTACAGTGAGTATTCAAATATGTAAGAGTGACACGCTGAATAACTTTACTGAAATGGGCATTATTTGTGGAGCTGGTTACAATTTGATGGACAAATACGCTGTACTTACGAAGAAGACCTCACTAAACACCACACAGTGACGGTGATTCGGAGACAGCTCCTTACCGTATTCTCTGTGAAATTGTAATCCAAGGAGTACTGTAATTTGCCAAGTTTCTCTTCTTCCTTAGACTCCACCTCTTTCTCTGTATCCGTCAGCCCTGTTTCCGCATCATCCTCATCCTTCAAGGCCTGAAGGAGACACCCACTAACAGTCAGTCTCGTCGGCCCAACGCTGGCGCTGCCCGATTGCCCTCGCCAGAGCGCCGGGCCCGCCCTGGACCAGCCTGCTCTTCAACCGCACCTCTATTAGGGGGGGAGCAAGCACTAAAACTCCACAGCGATTAAGACCATGACATGCTCAGTGATGCACTAGACTTGGGCTGTGAACCCCCTTCTCTCCTACGGTCTGCTATTGTGAAAAGTTGTGAAAAGAGTTGCAAGAAGATGAACTGAATGGGTGCAAGCAATCTAGGTTGGGAAGGGCAAGGCTAGGGCTGGGTGGTATGATAATGTATCGATTGCGCATATGGTACTATATCTAGCTATTTTACAAAGGCCTAGAACTTGGCTCATTCAATCAGTGGTATATTATATTATATTATATTACATATTTAAGCCCACCCCATGTTAGATTATGAAAAGCTGTTTCTGCACAGTTGTCAGACAAATAATCATTTGTTGTGAAAATCTTCCTAATAATTAACGTATGACGCTGTCAAAATCGTATATATCATATAAATCATATAAATCATATATAAATAAATAAATACATACATACATTAAACAGCAACAACAAACATGTCATGTTATGTGTACCGGTACCGTGATATAAAGCTACAATTATTGGTCATACCGTCCAACCCTAGGCAAGATGAGCAGACAGATGTTCTTAAGAAATACATTGTACAATACATTGTCCTTTATGTTATTTCAGGCAGAACAATCTCTGGCATCAACAAATCAGTGGGGAAATGTTGTGAATGGTGTGACATTAACTCCCTAGCTAGCCTTAGTTTAAGACCAGTGTTAAGGGGATTTCGAGTGAGGTTTGTTGTCACTGGAAAGCATGCGATTGTCGAGGCAAACTCAGCTCTCAGTTCATTCACTGTGAAATAGTTGCCTTCCGAAAGGGCAGTCTTGCTCATCGGTAAAGCATGCAAGGCATTCACGTTCTTAAGAAGAGTGCTTGTATAGTGACCCTCATTCTCTGTGACGTGATCTTCCACACACAGTAGCGTTGTCATGACCCTTAGTTATTGGTGATAACCACCACGCTCATAGAAGCTGTAAGCGTCATGCCAGCAGAAGGTGTTGGTGGGAGGGGTCGTTACAGGGCCTCTCCTATTAGTTGTTGGGTTACAAGTGTGAAAGCAAAAGGCTGAACAAAATTGATTTCTTGGCTGTCTTGTCCTCTTATGAGGATCAGACTATTTTCACAAACACTTGTGCGCTTCAATTCAACAACCTCTTTGGGGTGCTTGTTAAGACTTGTGATGTATTTAAAGGCATAGTTCACCCAGAGATAATTTATTCACCCTCATGTTGTTGTTGTTCCAAATCCGTTTGACTTTATTTGTCCAGCAGAATGCAAAATTAAATGTTTAGCTGGATATGTGAGCTGCTCTTTTCCACATAATGAAAACGGATAGGAAATTAAGGCTTGTATAAGCCCAAAAACTGAACACCATAATAGTGGTCCATATGACTCGCACTATAGTTCGAGTCATATGATAGCATTGTGATGAAATATTAAGTAATTAATCACTAAAATGTATATGCTTTTAAATTTTGTTTAACAGATGTAGTCAACATTAACTTTTAATGTGTGGAAAAGAGCAGCGTGGACATTCTGCTAAACTTCTCCTTTTATGTTTCAAGAAGAGTCACACAGCTTTTGAACAACATGAGGGTGAGTAAATGAAGACAGGATTTTCTGTTTTGGCTGAGCTATTCCTATAAATGAGTCTTTTTGGAAGTGTAAAATGATTAAAAGTAGTTGGTAACACCCCTATGCAGCTGTGAGTGTCCTTCATTGATACCCTTTCCATCTGACTGGAAAAGATGATGTTTCATAAACATGTCAGCCAATTAAAGATCAGTCTGGTCATCGTGTCTGAAAATTGCTTCTTGAACAAATTTGTCCTGCTAATGAGGTGGGTGCAGTTCTCCTCCAGGACATTTTTCAATTTTAAGTTCTAGTGGACCAGATGAGTACTGATAATTTGGCCAAGGGCAGTCAAACAAGCTGAACATATCACTAGTAGTTAAGCAGTCCGTACTTTGACAGTCTCCTTAAATTATCATAGTCTGTTTTCTACTTCAAATGACAAGTAGAAATCAATGTGGTTCAACCTTGCTAAAGCGTACCCAAATGCATTTTCTCTCTTCATATATATGTGTATATGTAGACTTACACATATATATTGTAGATATACATGTACTGTATGCATAGTTACATATATGTTACTCTACTAGAGTAAACCTGTTGTCAAGAGGCTATTAAAAGTCATTGCAGCAGGCTATAGAAGATCCAACAGCAATTGGGAACCTACCGCCAGTGGCAATCCCGCAAAGTCATCAGACAAAACATAGATAAGGAGGACATGGAAGGAAGAGACACAAATTAAAACAACCACACACAAAGGCGACCACATGAGTCAGGGCATACCAGGAGAAATGACTGCTGAGAAGCTCAAAGCTTCTTCTGCTGACAATACAACAAAGATGTATGTTGTGCAGGACATTGTACTCTGGCATATCGCTCTGATCGTTGTGTATCGTTCTTAATGTCTGTGCTAATTTGCTAAATAAGAGTGACAATTCATTAATCTCTCATATTTAGCCAATTAGCACAGGTATTACAAGTTGTTATGTTGGCTTTAGCTGGTCTCCTAACCTGGCAAAGATGGTCTTCGTCTGTTCTGCAGTGACCCAAACCTTCTAAAACTATTAATAAGACCAGCCTAACCAGCTTGGTCCAGTTGGGAGAGCAGTTAAACACCTTAGCCTGGTTTGTTTTATTCAGAAGAGTTGTGTTGCAAAATATTGATTATATGGATTTCAATGGCTGTAGCCATTTCTTATTTCTATTTTGAAAGTACTAATACACAATTCTGGTGGGTAAATATCATATAGCAGCTATTGTATATCTGTTCGTATTTGGTTTGATGCTGATAAACTGTGACATTCTAGAAATGCACACTGGTTTTTTTAAAGAGTGCTGTTAATTATCTGTGTCTGTTCCTCTTCACTGTGCTTTGTGCTCAAGAATCAATGTCTCTAATTTGGGATGAGTGGTCTTGGCATGGTCTCAAAGCCAGTGTCCTTACACCACGAATTAAGCTGACTTTGTTAATTATTCTGTTAGAAGTGTACTATTGCGAGCATGTTAATGCAATTAGCATGCTAACTAGGGTTAAAGTGCCAGTGTTCCATATAATTTGTGGGTGTGTGGGAAAAAGCGAGCTGCATTAATGTTCTTTCTCCTATTGTTTTCATTATCTACTGTCATTTCTCTGGGTTGATACCACTTCATAGTACAGTTAACCATATGCAGCACTACAAAGTGAATTAAGCTAAATACAAGAAAAACAGAAAAACTCAATATTTTAATGAACCGTTAACATGCCCAGGTTTGCAGTCCTGCAATTAAAGTCAGCTGTGAAACAACATCATCAACAGATGACTCCATCTAGAGTTGTCTTATGAACATACTTAATTGGCATTGTGCATTAATACAATACTACTTGAGTAAATACATATTTCATGCAACTTCTGACGACTAAAGAACAAGGCCAATCCAATAGCAGTAACAAAATGTTTTTACCTCGGTTTTGATACCGTCAGTGACGTCCTTCATGTTGATGGCATTCTTGCCCTTGTCTTTGCCCTTTTTCTTGTTCTTCTTCTTGAATATCCACTTTTTGCAGACGCAGAAGCAGCAGGAAACAACTAGTACAACAGCAACAAATGCAATGGCGACGATGGCCCATGATGGCACTGTGCAGACAAAAATAAACAAGACAACTCAATGCACTTATACAGGCATCTTTATAACAACCACTTTTATTTCATTTGTAAATCATGCACTACAGTAATGGTCGACCAATATATTTCCAAGGCCGATATATCGGCCGATATTTGACATTTTTTCAAATACTGGCATCGGCCGATAAGTTTTTCCTGTTTGGCCAATGTGTTCGGGAATTTTATTTAGACTGCGTGCCAGACTTTTATTTTGACTGCGCTGAGAACGGCAGCACCTGACTAAGCACAGTGCTCACATTCCCCCTCTTCATTGTTTGCCTTCACAGTTTAACAATTCTTTCTAATAGGGACATAAGCCTGTCTAATAATCAGATAGAATGTTAAAAAAGGAATTAAAAGGTATACAAAAAGTATTATAATGATTGCTTTTATATTATTAGTAACAGAAAGGCAGACATAATACTTTTTCGTTTGCCATCAGCATTCAGCAAATACGCATATCATTTAAACAAACCTTTAAATGACTAATGAACATTTAATTTCACAAACCTTGCAGACTTAGTCGAATCCAGCTGTGAGATCTTGTGAAGTGTGCATTTGTATATTGCCTGATCGTGTGTGCTCTGCGTGACAGTCGATCCGTGTGAATTGAATCCGGACAGGAGGAGAGTTCAGCTTCACTGGAGACGCGTGATCAACTTTAAACTCGTTATTTCAAACTATGCTGATTTATGCATTTGCGCACTGTCATATTCATGTAATTTTTACTGCGTGCTGAATGTAAAATGAGTGTTACCTTGGGTTTAGTTGAAAAAATATGATTCCCAATGCACACAAACTTCCCAGATTACAGAGTGCCCTGTTGGTTACAGTGTTTACTTTCTTTTTGTTTATATATTTTAAAATATTTCTTTATTTGTGAAAAATACTGTATTAGTAATAGAAAGGCAAACATAATACTTTCTCGTTTACTATCAGCATTCAGCAAATACGCATTTATATCATTTAAACAAATCTTTGAATGTCTAATAAACATTTAATTTCATTTAACATTTAATGCCTTTAAAAAACATTACTTTCACTGGAAAAGAATAGTGAATCCTTTTTGGTTTCACAGAACCAAGAAATGTAGTCTAGGTTTATAAAGGAGAATTAAAATGGCAGAATTTTAATCTTGAGATAACTATTAATTTATTAAACTTTCTTCATTCAAGCCAATAAAAGTGGTATTCAAATAGCTGTTATCAAGATGGCCACCAAACAAGCTTTCATGATTTCAATCTATTCCCAGAGCAACGAGAAAACACAACAGGTGAGAAGTGAAAATGACGAAAAGTTTCAGTCTGTTGGTTTACACACTTTGATCAATTGCCGGAGAACTTCATGTCTGCCGGTCGCACAGGATTAACGATCTTTGCTCAGAGAGATGTTGCAATGCTCTAGTGAGAGTAATCAGCCAATTTAGTTGAAAACCGGAGCTGTTGGCATTCACAACTTGCCATTTGATCACTCTTGGAAGACATTTTGAGCTTGACATTGTTAAAGCAATCATGCTCAGCGCCGGATTTGTTTGATTGTCAAGGACAGTGTGGAACTAAATAAACGGAACGAAAATACTCCTAAAAGTATGTTGTTTAATGAGGTTTGAACTTCACAAACAAGAATTTATGCACACTGACCAAATTGCTTGGCCTCCAGAAACTTGTTTTAAAAATATTGTGAGCAATTTACATCCATGCGGCATAGTGATGGACTTTGTGCTAGAATAACTGAAAATAGTATTTCCTCTTCTGGTCATGACTTTATAAATACAGCTCCAAACTCCAGCGAGCACTGTCAGGGGAGGACAATCGAGCTCCTCAGCTTTTCGACAAGATTAACAGCCTCCTGCCAAGAGAAAGAGCAACGCCTCTATACAGCAGGACTAAAACTGCATTCGCCAACAGAGCACGAGCACCAGATACGAAAATGTTAGTTTCCGAGACGCGAGAGAAGCTTCCTCCCCGAACCAACATTTGCTGGGAATAATTGGTAGACAGATGTGGTGGAAGAATTCTGCATTCAGATACTCATACAGTAATTACGGCTTTTGCGCACAACACAACAAACACCTGCCAACCGAATGGCAACTTTCAGGGAAGCAGATTTCTCCAGAAAAGAAGCCGATTTTTCCACTTCAGATTTGAATGTGCTTGATTTGCTCTGGGACAATGCAGAGTCAAGGACTGTATAAATAATGTCAGGCTCCAGTGGGCGAAAGACATCTTGTACTCTGCATTTGGGAAACAAGCAAGCACTCAAACATGTTATAGTGCATCTCAAGAAACCTGTCAAGGTCACATTTCACCTGAAAATTGGAAGAAATAAAAAAAAGCAGTTTTGCTAGAATTGTAATTAAATGTAATCTTTCTTATCCATTCTCATTTAAATTTGGGAGTTAAATGTACTTAACTGTCTTTAAAATAATGTCACAATGAAATCACAAGGGGATAACTTAATGACTAAAATGTAATTCAATTTAATTTAAATTTAAATATTATTTATTTTTATTTCACTTATTTAAAAAATTATCTAACAAAATTATTTTATATAGTTTTCTTCTTTGAAATTCCAGTAAAATGTAATCTGGATACATTTTGGGTGAGATTTATCCATTATATATTTAACATTTTGACCATATCCAATATATCATGACAGCCTATTTTCCCCTAAACATCCTCAATTTGAAACATATTTTGTTTCTCTTATCATGGTTTGAGGACTTTATATTTGAATTGGCAGTAGAGAAAAATTTAAATAAATGCTAGCATCTTTGTCTCCCAGGAGGGTTAGACTTGCTACCACAGGACACATTTCCCACAGCAAGATCCAAAGGGAGAGCAAAAGGGGAAGATAAAGAGTGAGAGAGAAAGAGAGAAAGAAAAATCAATTGGCTGTTGACAAAATCGATAAGCACTCTCCTCTGAGGAAAAACAGTGAGTGATAGTCTAAAGTAACTTTGGGATCATCAGCCCACGGCCTCAACTTGGCTGTGGGGTAATGGAGGTGACAATCCTCCACTTTTTTCCTTTTTTCCCCTTCTTTAGCACACCCCTCACTGGACTACATCCATTTATAATAAATAAAAAAATAAAAAAAATACAACAATCAAATGGTTTTAGCTTATGCATAGACCTAAAGTATGTTCCCAGATGTTTCATTCAAAATTAAGAGCAATTAACAGGGATCCCTAGAGTGTTTCTCTTAAACGCTTTAGGAAATGTATTACAAATACATAACATTTCTCATTTTTAAATCCTGTTTACACCAGATTATCCAAGAAAATGGTTTGTGAATAGCGTTTCCTGTTGACATTAAAATTGAATAGCTGAGTAAATGTGTTTTGCACATTTAGCATAACATTTTAGCATGGTATTAGACATGAAAAGAAAAGGAAAAAATGGATATGAAAAAAACTAACAAAACAAAACAAAAAAGCCTCTCACCAGGTTTTTTCGAAAAGCTTTTTCGAAAGCCCTGTCATTTCAACTCTTTTCAAACAGAGGAGAATCTGTCAGCCATCTTAAAAGGCCACTCTTATTGGTCAGTTGTGCTGCGTCTTCTTTGAAAGCTTGCAGCTTAGACCATAATTGCTCCTGAAGCTTGTCTAGCATCAGACCCCTGATTCATACCTGTTAAAACCTGCTCTCTGGCCCTCACTTTTTTCTCCACCACTGGCCTGAATATCAGCCCACTGGGGGAATAAAGAGCCCCTTTCATCTCTATGCCTCCTCTAAAGCAAACCCTGCCACATGGGACTCAAACTGCACAAAGCATTGAGCCGTCCTTGGCTTAGACCAACAAGTGCTCTATCAGTTTTCCTGGAGTGCTATCATTTTTAGACGTGCCTTGACAGCTGTGTCATGCAAGATTATATTGCTAGGTTTCATTCAACGATGTACTTTGAAATTTGCAATTGAACGCCATGTGAAATCAGACCTCAAGCTTGGGAAATGTGTCAGTCCGCAAGTCAGATTTATTGCTGAGATGAGTGAGTATAATGTTGCATGAACATGGTGATATTGTGATATAGTGAATTAATGATAAACAACCACTTTTAAGCTAATTAAAAATCATCAAATGCATAAAAAAAAGTTATAAATCTGACTTTAAAACAGCAAAGAAATGTGCACAGTAATGCAGTTTTCCATTTAAAGTTGAAAGTTAATGTTAAAAGTTTGAAATTCTGATTTCTAGTTGAACAGAATGAAGCATAACTGATGTCTGATTAGAAATTCTAGTCACACTTTATTTTAAGGTCTTGCCATTAACAAAACATTAACTATGACTTCTGCCTCAAACTCCTAATTTGCTGCTTATTAATAGTTAGTAAGGTAGTTGTTAAGTTTAGGTATTGGGTAGGATTAGGGATGTAGAATATGGTCATGCAGAATATGTGCTTTATAAGTACTAATAAACGGCAAATATGTTAATAATAGTCATGCTAATAAGCAACTAGTTAATAGTGAGAATTGGTCGCTATACTAAAGTGTTACCGAAATTCTAAGATGAATGTCCTCTTAGCTCTGTAAATACGACAATATTAAAGCATTATATACTGTAACTGAAGATATAAACCATAAAATTAAACATGTCTAACATGTAACTGGAAATTTTGATTCTCTAGAAACCGATACTGTCATAACGAGACACAGATTAAAAACCTCTTGTGTCCAAGGGGTACAGGATTCTGTGATGAGCCACAATCTCACACGACAAGGGCGAGCTCATATTAAAGGTCTGTAAAGGTCAATGATGAGAACCATTTAGTGCTACTGCGGACACTGAGCAAT